ACGCTAATTCATCAGATACACACTGCGCTATCTTTTTGCTGGCGTTTGCTGGGTGTGGATACTCTTGCTGAGCGACAAAACGTCTCGCAGACCGTCTTCGTTGCTAAGTTACTGAGTTCCTGAGTTACTGAAAATGTATGCTCCTGCCCGAGAGCCTTGCTGCATGAAGGAGCACATGCAACCAACTATGCTGCAAACAGTTCCTTTGTCACCATGATTCATCAATTTAACGAAGTATCTGACCTATTTGACTTTGTCATCAATGCCTCCATCGTTTGCTGTTGGCCAATTTTTAGTTTTTTATTGAGTGACTGGGCAAAAACCAGTCGTAATGCGCACAGGAAAAAACTCCTACAGTACTTTATTTTATCAAACTTCCATTTCTGCCAACACGTTTCTAACTACATCTATCCCCCGAAGAACGCATTACCCACTGAGTTGCACCCACCGCTTTTTCTCGGCGGGGTTTCAACCAGTCGATCTACATTTTTGCATGTGAGTAGGGTCAATGGAGAACTAGTCACTCGTAGAAAATTAGAGCGCATGGTTGAAATCCCTCCGAGACAAAGCGGTGGATAGAACTCAGTAGGTAACGCGTTCTTCGGGGGAAAGCTGTATCTGACGTTTTTTCGTCGTCCTTTGCTTCTTTTTCGGGGCCTCACACAGTTCCAACCACCACTTTTCTTCGTCGACTGCTTCTCTTGGCTTCCTCCTTCTTCTCGGTACACCTTTCGGCGACTTCCTCCTTCACGAGCAACTCGTTTCTATGACCAGTGCTGTGACATATCACTTTCAATAACAACAAGTTGATTTTTATTAGCTCCAGACGTCTGTACCCGAGCAAAGTCAGATATCAAAATACTATTAAAATGAAATATCATTGTGTTTTTGAAATCATGTTGATAAAATATTTTGATATGCCATTTTTTTAATTTCGGTAGGATTCATATTTTGATATTTCTAAAAAATTATATGTATTAAAAACCAAATTTGATATTTTATAAAAAAAAAAGAACATCCACATATATCACTGAAATCTACGTTTAGTTTTATTATTTTTTCTCACCAGTCAATCAGGATGATTGCTGTTTTCTTTATGAACATCACAAAGACAATTATGATTTTTACAGTTATATTTTACAACATTTATTGATAGTAATCTACCTGCGAATTGAATTAACAAATCGATATAAAATGGTTTTCGCCCTGCTCGTCTTTAATACTTATACTCACTAGCGTGCACAGGAATCTTGTTAAGGAGGGGCGATTTTTTTTTCTATGGTGCATTTAATCTGGGGATGGGGAGTACTACAAAGTGCGTGGGAGATGGTGCTGTCCACCCACCACTGTTTCCCTACTGTTTAATTTAGATAATTTTATATATTTTTTGCTCCGGTGGTGGTTCATCTTCTTGAATACAAACTGTTTTCAGACATCCAATGGAATTTGGCAATTTAATCCCATCCATCGTGAACCGTCCCAAAGTACCGCCAGTCGGTGACAGAAAATGATTCCGAGCATTCAACATGTAACTTTTTAACTACGGTTAAAAATGACTTGAAATTTTCAGAGAAGATTCTTAGACGATTTTTTTTAGTAAGATCAAGGTTCAATGGCAAACTAATACCCACTTTTCAAGGGTGTTTCAAGGGAATCCAAAAGCTGTCTTTAAACTTTGTACAGTTGCGAAAAAGTTCATCCTCAGAATCCCTTGAGGTTCTTTTCGAAATTTTTAGAACTCTGTGATCTCTTTTGAAATTCTTCTCAGAAGTCCTCTGGAATTATTTTTAGATCTCTTCTTGACTTTTACTCAGAACACCTTGCAACTGAAATTCCCATAGAGTTTCAGAAGAACTTCCTCAAAAAAATTATTCCCGGCTTGAGCTAGAAATTATCAATACTCCCCAGAAATTCTTTGGAACTGTCCTCAGGATTCTGTAACCTTGAGGTTCTTCTCGAACTCTCCTAAGAGCTCTTTTGAAATTCTTCTCAGAAGTCCACTGGAATTATATTTAGAAATCTTCATGATTTTTTCTCAGAACACATTGGAACTGAATGAGCTAAAAATTATCCTCGGAATTTGCTTGAAATTTTGCTTAAAATCCCTTTGGAATTTCACTCAAAATTCAGTGCCAACATTTCAAAGGGGCGTAATTGTATTTGTAAACAATGGCTTTAACAGTCGATTTCTCGTGAATTAGAGCTCACTCATAATGACACCAACACGTAGAGAAATGTTTCCTCTACCAGCAGCATTTTGGAGAGGTGAGATTTCATTCGCGAGAAATTGACGGCTTAAGCCATTGTTTACAAAAGCAATTACACCCCTTTGAAATGTCGGCACTGAATTTGATTTTCTCGGTATTCTTTTCGAAATAATCTTGGAACTATCTGCAAGATGCACTAAAAATTATACGCAGAATTTTCTTTGAATTCTAACCAGAAATATTTTGGAACTGTCATAAGAATTCAATATCCTTGAGGTTCTTCTCGGAATATTTTTGAACTTTTTTTTTTAGAACACCTTGGAACTGAAATTCCCCTAAAGTTTCAGAAAAATTACCTCTGTATTCTCCAGAAATTCTTCCCAAAATGCGCTTGAAGTTATCCTCGGAACTCCCTTGAAACATTTCTCAACATCCCTTTGGAATTTCATTCAAAATTTTATTCCATGAAATCATCTCCAGAAATATTTTCTTTTAGAACTGTCGTCAGAATTCAATACCCTTGAGGTTCTTCTCGGAAGTCAAGTTTAAGTTGTCCGTCCATTCACCAAAACGTTGTAGTTTTTCTACCAGAAATGTTCAATAAAGCTTGCCCCTCCATTCACACGAACTGTGCAATTTTTACATCAGGAATTTTTAATTCAGCTTGCCTTCCATGCACCAGATTGTTGCAAATCTTACACCAGAAATTTTAAATTCAGCTTGCCTCCCATGCAGCAGATTGTTGGAAATCTTACACCAGAAATTTTCAACACAAACTTGGCCCCATAAAATTTTACACCAGAAAATTTCAATTGATCAGACCGATGCAAATTTTTCACCGTTAATTTTCAATAAAAATTGCTTCTCCAATCTTCTGATTGGTGCAGATTTCCTTATAGCTTGCTTCTCCTATCATTAGAATGTTGCAGGTATTCCTCCAAATAAAGTTTGCCCCTATTTTCAGACTTTTCATCATAAATTGTCAGTAAAACAGCTTCCCTCCAATCATCAGAATTGTGCAAATTTTAGACTGGAAATTTTTATTAAAGTTTGTTTCTCTATTCAGCAGAAGGATGCAAATTTTAGGACACAAAATTTCCAAAAAGCTTGCCCACCCGTTCACTACAACGGTGCAGATTTTCCACCAGAAATTTTCAATATTGCTTAATTTTAAATAAAGCTTATGCCATCATTTACCAGACCACCAGAAATATTCCGTTCATTTCATGTATCAGAGCAATGCAAATTTTGCACCAAAAATTTTCAATAAAGCATGCTCCTCCATTCACCGTTCTGTGCACCAAAAATTGTCAGTGAAGTTTGTTTCACCATGCACCTTTTTATGGTGCAATTTTCAAGCTTTGTCTCTTCATGTACCAGAATGGTGCAAATTTTCCACCATAAATTTTCAATGAAGCTTGCATTCATCAGAACGATGCAAATTATGCACCAGAAAAATGAATAAACCTTGCTTCTACATTCACCACAATGTTGCAAACTTTCCACCAGAAATTTTCAGTAAAATGTGCTCCTCCAAATGTTTAGCGTGATTCCATTTCTACACCAGAGTTATTCAGTTTGATGAGTCCCTCCATGCCCCACCTTGATGATATGTTTGCACCGGAAATATTAAATAAAAAGCTTTTTCTTCGATTTATCACCACGAAGGTGAATTTTTTCACACAAGAATTTTTTTTTGTGGTGCAATTTTTTGACCCAATTGAAGTTTGTCATTTCATGCACCTTTTGGTGCAATTTTCAGGCACCATCTCAAAGAAATTGACGCAATAAAAGTATTTCAGTGGCCTTATATTATGAAATGAAGTTATTTTACCTTCAATCTAAGTTATCAAGAAATCAAGTTATTTTATATCATAGTTTTGTAAATGTGAAAATAAAAATCTTATTTATAAAAGGAGGGGCAATTGCCCCACATTGCCGCACCCTGTGCACGCCAGTGCTTATACTAATACATTGTCGAATATTTTTATTTAACTTTCGCAGGCTTATACCCCGTACAAACTATGGCTTATATCATGTAAAAGAGGCGGTCTTGCAATGAAAACTCATACATAGGATTTCCAGTGAAAACTAGATGTATGAGTGCTCATCTAAGTTTTGTAAGTTAAGCAAACCAAATTCCGACCTTATTAAGATATTCACATGTTAATGATTCGGTATCGGTTCGTGCTTTTTAAATTAAACCTGTTGATTAGAAGTGAAATTTTCAAATATATTTTCAAAATCCCCCCTTACAAAAGCCAGATTTCGCATAGAATTAATTTTTTTTTACATTTGATTAACAGTAATTCTATGTTAACAAGGAAACAGAAAACGCAATCCAGCACAAGATGATGAGCAGTTTATTTGATTTCAACCTTCGTATTTACATAATTTTTAAAACCGGACCGGAATAACGAATTCCTATTGGATTGCCCTTCAGCGAAAAAACCAGCTTTCGTTAATCACCATGCTTCATATGACCTACACCAATCAAGCCAAACAGGTAGAAAAAACCTCTTCCGTGTCACCAATGGTGTTTGTTTTCATTTCAGTGCTAACATTTGAAAACGGCGCAAAAGCCATTTGTAAACAAATGGTTTGTGGGCCCTTTACTCGCTAACCGAAGAACGCCCACGCAAACCAACAGCATCGTCAGGAAGGGGAAAATTTCCCCTACCCGATGTTGCTGTTGTGTCGCGTGGGTGTACTTCAAGTAGTGAGTAAAGGGCCCACAAACCATTTGTTTACAAATGGCTTTTGTGCCGTTTTCAAATGTTAGCACTGATTTGTTAACCAGGTGTGAAAGTAGGTGTATAGTTTCTGAAATGAAGGCACGTCATATTCATCGCACTTCATCCCTTTTAGATTCTTTCAACTCTCATCCACAGCCCGCCAACGGGTGTCAGAATGAAATGCTTCGGCGAAAACCTTAACGGAGCAGACGAGCAGCTTGAAAACCGATAGCCCATCAGCATAGTTGCTAGTCCGATTTTGGTTTGCAGCATTCCGAGTCGAGCAGCAACACACATTCGGGGACCCTCACCGAATGGAATAAACGTAAGCGGGTTTCTACTGGCACACTCCTCGGCACTAAACCGGTCCGGATTGTACCGTTCCGGATCCGGCCAGTACTCCGGGTCATGGTGAATGGCATATACCGGGACCATGACGCTCATTCCTTTTGGAAATACTACATCTGAGTCAGGAACCTGGTAGTCTTTGGTCACTATGCGATACACCGTTGTAGGTGGGTATTTTCGTAAAGTTTCTGTAACAAAATTGTATTTTTTTTTTGTATATCGATAAAACTATCTTGTTGGATAGAATCTTACCATTTATACACTGCTCAAGGTACGGCATATCCATCAGAGCATCGTAATTCAACTCGCCATATTTTGTAACAGCATCCATCACACATTTCCTAGCACGCTCTTGAACGTCTTCATTGGACGACAGCTCGTACAAACAGTACGACATAGTTGTGCTGGCTGTCTCAAATCCACCCAGGAAGAACACAAAAGAATGTGCCACTATCTCATTTAACGAAAGAGTTCCAAGTTTCTCCTCGGACCCTTCCAGTTCACCTTTCTCTTGAAGCTGCATCAACAGGTTCATAAAGTCATTCCTCTGCACAGAATTTTTCTTTCGGAAATCGATCGTTTCGCGAACAACTTTGAAAAAGAATCCCGATATATCGGCATCGATCAGCTTCATGTGACACTTCCGTGCCAGGTTCCCGAAGGCAAACACAAAGAACAGTTTCATCAGTTTCCACGTCGAGACATCAAACACCTTCGTACCCATGCGCCTAAATTCGTTATCCGGATCGAGCAAACTGCTGCAATCGATCCCAAAAGCACACGTTGCGATCACATCCGTTGAAAATCGTGCCAAAATATCTTTGATCTCAACCTCCCGCGTTCCGGCGATACATCTGTCAAGGCTCACTGTCAGATTTTTCGCTACGTTCACAATCGTAGGGCACATAATTCGTAGCTTCCCGGAGGAAAAAGTCGGGATCAGTTTCTTGCGCTGATTGGTCCATCGGGTTCCCTCGAGGTTCAGTAGATTTCCCGAGATGGGATCATCCTTTTCGTTGTGATACAAACCACGATCGTGGAAATACTGGAAGTCTCGAATGAGAATGGTTTTCACCAAGTCCAAATCCAAGACCTCAACCACCGGTTGCAGAAAGTAGTACACTCCAACGAATGGGTGTGATCCTTTCGTTTGCTTGTAGAATTTGGCCAGCAACTGTGAGGGGTGGGCATGGATTCCAACGCCATCGAAACTTCCGACCGGGAACTTTGCGGGAATGAATGGCACACCTTGTCGCTTCCAGTACGAGTATCTTCTCCGTACGAGTAGAAAAGAAAGCGAGACTATCAACAGAAACAGGTAAATCCACATGTTGGCATTGGGTGGTTAAATTGGCTGTTTTGGCACTTGCTAGCGTTCGACACGTGTTGTTCGATTGGGATGTTGAGCGGTACTGATTTTAAAAAGTCAAGAACATCCCACAACTCAACATGTAATTTTGGCTTTTTGTATAACAGTTTACGGGTGGATGAATTCTCAAGACGCCCAGAATGATCACGAGTGAACTGCGGTCACTATTCGTGTTTATGAATGGGCGATCAATGTCTCAACGACACGAACATTTTACTGGTATTAAGCTGGGAGTGTGATTATGATCAGCAACACATCCTCACACCAATCCAAGTGTATTTGTTTGCAAACAGAAATGATTCATTCATCAATTCCGGAGCAAATTGTGATTAGTGCAAAACTAGGAAAATGTAAACAAATTGAGAAAAACCGAGCGAGTTTGCACGTATTAATATAACTTTTTATTGAACCACACATTAGAAAAAAAAATTAGATCTTTTTGTTAAAGGCCAGCAGTTGGAGTATTTAAAAAATAATAGTTGGTTGATACCAGAACAATCAGGATATCGGGAAGGTTATTCCCAGTTGAACCACGTTGAATTTGGTATTAGCGAAATGGAAAAATAACTTGGAGTGTAAAGATACGATTGTTGCTGTTTTTTTTTTATCTAAAACGCGCTTTTGAAACAATTTCTAGGCCCTTGCTTTTTTTTTTATTTCTTTATTAAAGAGACTTTCAGCCGTAGGCTGGTTCGTCTCTGAAAAATAATATATGAAAATACAGTTAATTCAAATTATTTTTTTTTTTCACTTTCTTCCTAGCTGCTTATTTTTGCTCCTCGTCTTGACTGGTGAGTCCGGAACTGACAATTCGTCTTGTTTATCTTCCATCGAATTTTAATTTCCTGCTGATTCATTATTCTGGCAACCCTGGTTCGCTGGTTCGTAACATATCGTTTCGCATTGTTGTGTTTTTGTTTCGTTGACAGCCTTCGTTTGTTGGTGACGGTTAGAAATTCATCCAATTCACTATCCGTCGATTCTTGTGCGCTATTGTTTCCATCGGAGTGTTGGTGCTGGGTGTTTTTGCTGGTTTCGCCTATTGTAGATTGAGTTTGATTGGTATCCAGTAATGTTTGTTCGCTGTTTTCATCGTTTGTGACCTTTTCTGCGTCTGTAGGGTCATTGCGGTCATTGACAGTAATGCGTGATGTAGAGCTATTGCAGTTTAGTCGGGGATGAGCCTTTTGTCCACAGAACCTGCAGGTTTTTGCTTGATTGCGATATGTAATCAAAATTGTCTCACCGTCGATCATCAGATAGGAAGGGATGAGTTGTTTGATCTTCATCCGTACTACACGTAGTCCATTGTGGATGCCGGGAAAATAATTCTTCCACATTTCTCTGCTGATGGAAAGAATTGTACCGTATGGTCGCATACTGTCTATAATCACCGTGCTAGGTGTTTTCGGAGGGAGATCATGGATTCTCACGTTAACGGCTTCGTCTTCCACGAACACGGGAATTTTGTTAGCTTTTTTCTCACACTGCATAGTGTGTTTTAGGTGGTGTGATGCAAAGTAGCGCTTGGCTGTTGCTGCATCTACCATCCCGACGTAGACACAGTTTCTAACATTGTGAAACTGGATGTTTAAGGCGTCCGCTATGTCCAGTTTCAACTCACCGCACATGAATTTCTGTACGGCAGATGCATCTGGTCGCTTCGGCAGCACACTAAAGTCTACTACCAAGGTGTTCTCCCGTTTAGCATCCATATGATAAAAAAAACTCATTAGCTTGTAACCTGATAACGAGATGGATAAAAGAAACACGTCTTTCACGCACAGGGCTTAGCTGTCAACTCTAGGCCCTTATTGTTAAGATCAATCAAACGCTTTGGAATTACGAGTACTGCATATAAATGGTTTGAAAGCTATTTGTCTGACAGAACTCAACGGACTGTTTTTAATGATTATGTTTCCAGTCCCGTGGGGAATAACTTTGGATTGCCTCAGGGAAGTGTATTAGGGCTCCTGATATTTATTATGTATATTAATGACTTGCGATGTGTTTTAAGATTTTGCGACATTCATCTTTTGCAGATGCTACTGTGTTATTCATTGCAGCTATGGATTTAGGTGATGCCGTTTTGCACTTGAATGAAGATTTGCGTTCTCTAAGTAGATGGTTGAAGTATAAGCAGCTGAAATAGAATACAAGTAAAACTAAATTTATGGTAATTTCACGGAACCGATTAAATGAGAACGTCTCTGTTGTAATTGATGATGAGACTATTGATCGCGTTCGGGAGATTAAATATCTTGGCGTGATTATTGATGACAAACTTAAGTTCAACTCTCACATTGACAATGTCATCAGAAAAATTACCAAGAAGTATTGACTTTTATGTCGACTGAAAAACGATTTAACTATTGCCAGTAAAATACAGCTATACAAATCAATCATCTCTCCTCATCTTGACTTTTGCCCTTCCATTCTATTTCTGGCCAATGCAACACAAATATCGAGATTACAGCGCTTGCAGGATAAAATAATGCGTTTGATTTTGAGATGTAATAGATTCACTTCCTCAACTTTGATGCTAGACGCCTTACAATGGCTGTAGGTGAGGCAAAGAAATGTATATTTGACTATAATGTTCATTTTTAAAGCATTTAAGGTGATACGATACGTCACGCTTTTTTTGCTTTTTTTTCTCTCCTTTCTATGTGTCAGTGAATTGATTATCATTGATGCTGTAGTAGTGTGAGTGTACATCATGCACTACCGCAACTACCGTAAACATAGCTGCTAGAGTTCGTTATTATTAGGTCGAATGTGTAACAGAGACTATCACTACATTTCCATTCAATTTGTCAATATTATCGACCTACCTACGACCCAGGACACCCCTTCCTATACAGAAAACAATTTTACGCCTAGTCTCCAAGACCAACATGTCAAGTCATCATAGAAATTAATTGATTCAACATCACACTTTGGTTACATACGACCTGTCCAAAAGTGATTTCAGAGCTCAAACCTCCAGGTACACGGTAAGAAAAAAGATCCCAAAATGACTTAATTTCACAAATCTCGGCACTATATTGTAGGAAGCCAAAAGCGAGGCCGAAAGTAGGTAATGTGGGTCGAAGAGTTTTTATTTGATTGTTTTCAATTAGTATGGAACTGACAATTCGTTTCTACCCACTCAAAGTCAAAAGTAGGCAAAAATGAACTGGCCGCTGGATATTTTTTCTTATAGTGTATGTTTTTGTTTTTGAATCATCCTTTGCCGCCTTTTGCATATCAGCTGATGGCTTCGAGCAGTGCAACCAGAACGACACATATTTTTTCTATAGAAGATTTCTAGGATCATTTACTATCATTTTTTTGCCTTGAGAAACAAAATAAGAAATTGTTTTAAACATTTTTTAGTGATGGTTTCTAAATTGCACCCAGTTTAAGTACCTTAAAAAGCAATAAAAACATTGTTTTTACACACTTTGTTTCAATAAAATCGACAACACTGGATACGATGAAAGATAATTCTTACACACACCTCCATAATGCGGTGTGTAGAAAAAAGGTAATCAAAACAGTTTCAATTTGCAAAATTATTCGCGGCTCGCGTTTTTAACGATGAAAATGATATTATTTAAGTAAATATCGTCTTTAAAAGTGAATTAACTTGAAAGTACTTGTAGAAGCACGTGTCGTAATTGTTTTTAGTGTGGTTCTGAGAAGTGAAAGCTAGTGAAAACAGTTGTTGAAATTTCATGCCCTGAGCAGAGCAAAATCCGCTGATCGTACTTTTTAATGTAAATATTACCAATGAGTGAATGAATTGGCAATATTTGGGTGGCAAAGTATTGAAATATGTATCCAGATCTTATTCATACAATTCAGGCCCATTTTTTAAGGTATGTAATTAGTAATTTACTGTTTTGTAGGAAGATGTCTTTCGTACGCATACCATAATACGTTTATTTAATGATTTTAGGGACAGCCATTGTTGCATGACGTGCCGTATCACCTTAACGGATTGCTGCTTCAATATTTGTGTAAACGAATTGAAAGTGGAAGGGACTTTCATAGATATAATACAAGAAACGCGGTTGCAATAAGAAAACCACATTTCTTCACACATTCACATTTCACAGAATTCATTATTTTTTAAAGGAATAAATGTTTTCAATTCGATGCCTAGACATATCAAACGTTCAGCAACACTTACAGAATTCTAATCTAATCTAATCTAATCTAATCTAATCTAATCTAATCTAATCTAATCTAATCTAATCTAATCTAATCTAATCTAATCTAATCTAATCTAATCTAATCTAATCTAATCTAATCTAATCTAATCTAATCTAATCTAATCTAATCTAATCTAATCTAATCTAATCTAATCTAATCTAATCTAATCTAATCTAATCTAATCTAATCTAATCTAATCTAATCTACTCTACTCTAATCTAATCTAATCTAATCTAATCTAATCTAATCTAATCTAATCTAATCTAATCTAATCTAATCTAATCTAATCTAATCTCATCTAATCTAATCTAATCTAATCTAATCTAATCTAATCTCATCTAATCTAATCTAATCTCATCTAATCTAATCTAATCTAATCTAATCTAATCTAATCTAATCTAATCTAATCTAATCTAATCTAATCTAATCTAATCTAATCTAATCTAATCTAATCTAATCTAATCTAATCTAATCTAATCTAATCTAATCTAATCTAATCTAATCTAATCTAATCTAATCTAATCTAATCTAATCTAATCTAATCTAATCTAATCTAATCTAATCTAATCTAATCTAATCTAATCTAATCTAATCTAATCTAATCTAATCTAATCTAATCTAATCTAATCTAATCTAATCTAATCTAATCTAATCTAATCTAATCTAATCTAATCTAATCTTATCTAATCTTATCTAATCTAATCTAATCTAATCTAATCTAATCTAATCTAATCTAATCTAATCTAATCTAATATAATCTA